ATCTTAATTTATTCATAATTAGAAGCAGAAGATTTCATGAACAAGTATATCATTTATGCATGCAAACTACTTTACTCGAAAATATAATATATTTTAATTATTATTTGAAAATTAATTATTTTCTATCAAATATTTATCTAAATATAAAAATTTGAAAAAAAATTACTTTGATATAAATGTACGGAAATAACATGAAATAACATTTTATCATTTTTACAATCATATTAACATTTTGATACATAGATAGGTTTATTTCTTTATATATATATATATATATATCTTAGAGTGCATACTCATTTCATTGGTTTGCTACATCACAGCTATAAGATAATGTGCAATGTGAAGTGGTTCATTTTCACAAAACATAACCCGGCACTACCCAAAATATATAGCGTAAGTAGTTTACTTGAAGTGTGAAGCTCTAGGAATGATAAAGTGACGATTCGTTGCTAAGGTAATGAATGGTACGGTAAAAAAAATTTACCAGTTTCAGTGCGGAATCCTATATTCGGCTAGAGGACCTATAAAACCAAAGAGGTACTAAAAGTGTGTTGAAAGTCAAAGAAATTTCCCTCAGGACTTCAATAGGTGAACAATTCAAAAGGACTGATGCATATATCTCGTACAGAGCAATCCACGGCGGAACAAAAAATCGTATGGATGATATATACAGTAGAACCTGTCTAAACTCATAACCTCTATAATCTAATACATACGTCCGGTCCAAACATAGAAGGAGTTGGTTATATTCGACCTCTATTAACTTATAACCTCTTTAATCTAACATTGACCTTTCGGTCTCAACAGTATTAATTTAGACAGGTTCGATATCAATATGGTAGATATTCCGGTCATGAACCTGCTCTCGAAGCGGTGGTATCTCTGATTCAAATATAACCATGGGGTCTTACTAGGACTTTTGGCTAGATCAACCCCGACCGTATGCCCATTTTCTAGGTGGTGTGTAAGTCACATTATAGCTACTGTCTATATTCTAATCAACTCATATCATTATGATATTCAGTGAATAAAGTGCCGAGAACACATAAGTCCACAGCAGATCGTGTGATGTTCACAAAAAACAAGACTATGTGGTAACAACTACGTACTCGGAAACCAACGCCTAGATCTCCAAGGGATCCATTTTCGCCACGGTACAGTACTTTCTATCAAGCGCTGGCACAGCCCCTTCTCGAAGGAAAGGTAAAGGGTCAAGAAGAAATGGAAAGGTGATCATCATGTGGGACTTGGAGGGGTCTTCCCGTATTTCGGCGATATTACTCGATTACTTCTTCAGGTCTAGGGCTAGCCTAGCCTTCAATGAAGTTCGTCTGCGCCTCCTTTCGAACAATTCCATTCTTAGTTCTTGACGAGGACAATGGAGATCGAGAGAGAAAGCCAAGAGGTCTTTGCTGGGGACGTGGTCAAGACAGGAGACAGGTAAGGGAAGGGAAGGTATTGGTAAGTTCAGTATTATTTTTGGTGAGAGGAATCTACGTTCAGAGGCTTTTCATGCTTCCAGATGCGGATGAAGAAAGCGTGAGGAAGCAACTTAGCCATCCGAAGTTCGAGAGGTTGCCACAAATATCTACCACCTAATGTCTCAAGGAAACCCCGTCTTTTGTTATTTGATTTGATTCCGCTCTTCCAGTATTCAATCGGCATCTTTGCTTTTCCCTGCCATTCTGCTCGGTGGCCGACTTTGTGCGCCTTTCGTATGGGACTGCTTCGAAGTAACCACCGCCTAATACCATAAGAACAAATATAGTCGTGCATGTACGGTGTTGGCAGAGGGAGACCGAATGGGATCTGCACATTTGTCAGACCCTCGGAAGGAAAGGTGAATATCCTACCTTTTAATTGTTAGACGTGCATATAATGTGGCCATGTCAAAACAATTGCGGTGTGAGAATCTTAGTTTTTGTGTGGGCATAGAAATTAGTGAGTTGATCCGGGTTCTATAAGATTTTAAATTTTGGTTTCAATTAACTGTAGACACGCAATAGTGCAATGTTGAAGGTCACCAAGTATATAGCAAAAAGAATGGGAAGCCATCAAATTTTTGTGTGGCAATGTAACTAAACTTCTAACAAAGCTAGTTCCCAATACCATCACAGCGAGAAGTAACTTGTAGTATACCTAATAGTTCTAGCTAATCAAGGTCAAATGGTTAAAAAATAATTCATTATAGAAAGAATTAATCATATATAAGATTAGTTGTTCTCTTATACAAGCTTAGTTTTTTTGTCTAAAAGGTGTGCACAGTAAACCAAGAGGAAAACAATATGCCATCTAATATGAAAGTCTCTTGAGCATTATCAGCACAAACATGTCTATTTGAATATCCATACCTCCATATAACTCCAAATTGAAATAAAAAATGAAGTATTTGCAGAAAACATGTCAGAGATCTTAAGTGCTACAAATTTTTAATAATATTCTACATAATAAGAAGAGTCACAATGTTTATTGATTTGTGTAATTCTAAGATTTGATATGGATTTTAAATACATATTTGCATGTATAAATATAATTGATTCTGAAAAAGATGAACATACAGTTTATTATGTGTTGAGAAAGTCTAGAATTTTAGTATGATATAAGAGTGGATTATTCAAAAGCAACTGCAGATGATTGGTTTCTCAAGATATGAAACATATAAATCTATTATGTACACAGTAATTTTTGCAAGTCATTACAGGTATCCATACAATGGTACTTTAAACGATACTGGACTGTCGCACATCCATTAGGATAAATTAATTACACATATTATTATTGAATCCATTGATATGAACTAAGAAATCTTGGATCAAATATTATCAGACATTGATGACATCAAAGAAAAAATATTTTAAAAAAATTTGAGCAATCAAAATGATGATAGATTTTCAACATGTCCCCCTTATTGCTAGGAACATGTGATTTAAAGTTGAACATTAATTACAAAAAAAGAAATTTTTCTTAGAATCCTGATTGAAGACGGCATGTTCATCTAGAGATGACAATGCATAATTTTTTTTTGACAACATGTGATATTTTACCATGATTACTTTAAATTCTGATAAGTGAATCACTTTGATGTAATTTTTATAACGCAATTGATACATTTTCTACATTTTATTACTTCATTCAATGTTTTTAGAAAGTAAGTCAAGTCTTGATTGTTCATATAATAGGAAGGGCTACCTATACCTCACTTAGCGCTAATTATTCCTCACCCTAGGCTTCTCATTTTTAGCACTACTTTTCCACATTTCACTTTGCTGCGAAGACTATAAAACCCATTTGGTCTGTCCTTGCATGGTATAGACCAATCAAAGATCTCTCTTTTGAGTGTGAGTGATAATTAGCTTTAAGTGAAGGATAACTAGTTGTTTACTCATAGTTAAGATTCTATAATGTTTTTGGAATAAATTACCATTAGAAAGAAATTTATTGAAAATCTTAATATAAATTTTTACGAAGAGTATTATTATTAAATGATAAACCAACCAATTTTTAGATGCTAACAACGTTGCATGCTGAAATCTTGATAAAATAAACAACAAATTATGATGAAAAACAATCAATAAAGATAATTCATTCAAGTAATTCTTGAAAAGTATTCTACAACCAACCAAGCTCAAAAATTCTGATAGTGATAAAATATCAATGAATTCACATTGCGTGATACATACGTGAATACATATTCTGAGTATTCTTTTGTAATTTTACAATTATGTATTAGATTCTTGTAACAAAATATACAAATAAAAATGACAGAAGTTGTATCTAGATTTGACGAGTATTTACTGCATGTTTATAATATTTATGCATCAAAAAATGTGCGGATGGAGTTAAATTAATCTTATAATAATAATTTTTTATAATGTATTGTTTTAGCATAATTACAAATGCATACCTTATGACTTTAATTATAACTCATATTTTTGACATTATTGAGCATATATTGATACAATAATGTGCAATTTTTTTCATAAAATATGTTTATTTATTTAAAAAATATATTTAAATTTATTATTATTATTTTAAATATTTTCAATTGTGATTGCCAATAGATAAGTTTATAAACTCTAAGTTTCTATCTTTATTAACTCTTAAAAATTATTAAAATTAATTTACACCTCAAATTGATTATCGTGTAAATTGAAATCTTCTTTGATGTCTTTATTCATATTAAATTTAATAATTATCCTTTTTGGTTTTTTAACAACATTAAGATTATCAAAATTTGAATTCAAAAAAGAGCAAAAATTGCCTAAATTTGTATTGCACAATAAAATTTCTTATTTAAATTTTTGCTTTTGAATGAATGCATGCTCATATATCTTTCCTAATAGGTTTAAGGAAGGTTAGTTCACAGGACAACATAAGATTGTGCAAATTTTTATACAGATAACTACATTGTGATTGTTTAGACATGAATGTGATTTAAATTCTAACATATCAGATGTACATTTGAATAGCAGATATTATCATCAAAAAAATCTTTCCTAAAGTATGGAGCATAAAATCAAATATATTGCAATCAACTAAGAAAAGTACAAATCTACTTTTGATTCATAAGCATAAAAGTATCATTAAAAAGATAACACTAAAAGTTGCACATATGAACTACTCTTTAGAACATGATTATACATCTTTTTAAAGTTAGCAAGTAGAGCCTTGGCAATATATATTTCCAAGTATATGGGTGTTATATTTCCAAATGATATCAACTTTTGACTAATTTGGCCAAAAACAAATACGAAATATGGATTACAAGTTAAAAAATGGTGATAGAATGCATGACAATCTACTATACTAGACATAAGTGTCTTTTCTTTACTTCATTGTGTTACATGTTCAAATCAAAAAGCTCAGTCTTCTTTATTGTGTGAACAACATTTCTCAACAAAATGTTCATTGTGTTACACCTAATCTGTAGAATTATGTACATTCATATACTGAGAGCACCAGCAAATGGTATCCATACAAAAATAATCAAGATGATGATGATTGTTTGAGAAACATCTCTCATAAGGATGCTTTGGTATTAACCCCAACGATACCATTATGGTTTCAACCTCATAAGGCGTGATGGGGTTTTTCATCGTTGTTGCTAAATTGACGGGTTGCTAAATTGCTTCGTTGAAGACAGCAGCAGGGAATATAAAACTACTCTGCGGTATTTGTCAGATCGTCAGAGAGATGTGGATCAGAATCAGCACGATTGTCCTGGTGCATGGATGGCTGTCCAAGTCTTCTCGAGCGTCGTCTTTCTTGGTAAATTCCTGATGATTCCCGAGGGGTGAATTTTTCTCCACGTTGTCCTTTTCCTTGGAAGTTGGAACCTTTCCCTTCGCTGCATGGTTTGAGATTTGCTGCGCACTCATGGACGATCTTCTAGAAGGTCAATGACCATTATCCTGAACAGGAGGAAATTCAATGAGTGCACCTTTGTGGAATCCTCGAGCTCCTCGTCATCCAGGCCCTGCAGGATGACGTGCTCTCATTGTCAGCCATCATGGAACAATTCCACGGAGGTTTTGGTGGATAAATCGTAAGAAACTCCCGGAATTAATTTAATAAACTAGATTATGAAAACCTCAGTAAGTCGTATCAGTCTTTCAGTACAGAAGAATGTATGATTGCGTTCTTTTCACGACGATCTTCCTCCTGGTAGTAGGAATTTGTTGAAGAGAAATGCAGAAGAACTCTATTTTTCTTCAGATGGAAAGCACGTCATAAAACTCAACTCGTTCTGCTAAGAGTAGAACGGTTTGAGGAATTGCTTCCAAAGCATATTTGCTTCAGCTTGTGTGGTACGAAGTGGGCTAACTCCACAAGAGGCCGTGGTGCAATTCAGTGTCCTAGGGACTATATTGTGCAGAAAGAGTACAAAACGCATGGAACGCAAGCTGAAGTTTTCACCGCTCAGTGAACGTGTTGCTTTCAGCTTGCCGCCTTTAAAGCTCGTGGCTGCTTTCGGCCACTCGGCGTGCACGTGAAATCTGAGCATCTCCCAATCCGGACCTCCAGATTGTGAATTACAGACCACTTGCATGAGCTCTTCTGCTTCGGTGACTTCTTGGGATGTATGGACATACCCCCATAAGAAGCCCAGGCAAAGAACGTAGGTTTCCCTAGCTCGGTTTCAGGCATCACTTCCAGCGTATCTGAGCATTGAAAACTTCAGGTAGCCAGCAGTAGTCACAAGAAGCGTTTGATGGTGCGTTTCGGGCACTCTTGGGACTCAGTCTCCCTAAACGCTGACGCAGTAGTGCCATTATACCAGTCATGTTTCTTCCGAGGTCTGAGCTCATACTGTTTTTTGGCACATCGAACGCGCTCATTGACTGGCTGGGAGCCTTTGTCAGTTGAGTGGTAGGTCCCTCTAGACTTAGAGCTACCCAACAACTTGCTTCACTGCAAGCTTTCTCATTCCCATACCTTTTGTTCCGTCTTTGGAATAGATCAAGGGTGTGCTGAGATATGGTGACCACGGTACAAGAAGCATTTCACATCAGATACTCGAGCTCATTTCCCTTCACAAGATTGTGGTTCTCCATCTCCGACCGTGATTGACGCGTTTGTGAACATCTGTAACGGGGTCATGAGACGGGTTTCAAAATTGGTCCTTCCCAGGAGCTCATACCGACCAGGATAGAAGCTTCTCACCGTTCTTTAGAAGGCGACCAAGCAACAATACTCGCCAGCTCCTCCTGCGTGCGGACGGTGCAACCCAGGTTCCTCAGCGTCTGACACCGTGAAGAGAAAGATTCAGCTTAAAGTCCAAAGAAGTCAAGTTAGTCAACTAAAATCCAGACAGTCCCTGCAAAGAATACCAGAGCCTCCGCCTGACGAACGCAGGTGGACACGAAGGTGCCGCTATCGGTGACACGAAGTCAAAGACCATAGAAAGTAGTGAAAAGAAGGCATGATGTTATAATGGAATTCGTGATCCAAGAAGGCTTATACTCCAAGCTGGTATCCCTTGAATGGGTCCCACTGACATCACCGATTTTCAACTAACCTTTCAACATCCGATACACTGAAAGATTTTATTCCAGTTTAGTTCTCAGACCTTTAAAATCTTAATAAAACCCTCAGTGTCTCTTAAGTCGCTGTAGACATATCGAAATCAATTTCGAATATCGAACTTCGATCAATCTCTATTCGCTAAGATTGGATATCAGACTTCGACAAAGGCCGGAATCCAGAACGCTAAGTTATTTTAGCTTCATTGTCAGATTATCCTTATGCATCTGGTGCTCTGAGTCTACTCGGTGTCTTGCGAGACCTGAGAGCATAGAGACTGAACAGAACGAATCTACTTAAAATAGATCTCGCCCCGTTGTTGACGTACTACTGTACAGGAGGTGCCAGGAGGATGACGCATGCTGGCCATCACACCCTGCTCTAGGTGGAAGAAGAGAGAATTGTAGATTTGGTGCCCCAGCTTCTCTTAAGAAGGAGAAGCGTAAGATGACCTCCAACTGCCTGGACAAGGCGAGGCTTGTGGGTATAACTAACAGCCGTTGGTCCACGAGGTCTAACACCGCAGTCCCACTGGAGATGGCGCAAGTGCTCCTTCACTAGCTAAGCTGTGCCATAGTACCAATTTCATATAAATTCACATGCGACTTGCATTTGCTTCAGGCTGCGCCGTACCGGCAACATGCCTGGAGAGAGTTGATGGGGCTCAAACCGAGATCAAAACAGCCGATTAGTTGTTGGGAAGGATGACCTGGCCGTGCTGTATTCAAGGACCAAAGGAAACTTGTCTTATCACATTGCTGTTGAAGATAGCGTAAGCCTGCACAGGGAAAACTTTCAGATTTTGAGCGATTCTCGAGATGGTAATCCTCAAGCGTGTATTTAAATCTTCTCAGGTATAAACTGAAAAACCACGAAGATTGCTGTCGTTCTCGAAAGTTCAGATAGATGATTCGCAGTCCTGTTTGCAACAGACATGACGAGGACATGTTGAAAAGAGGGTTTCCAGGTGAGGGTTCCGACTCATACCTGCTTGGCGCTGACACCAATTCTCTCTAAGTCTGTTATCTGCGCACACGGATACATCCAATTCTCAGTAAGTTCATAGAAACAGCTTTTTGCCGCAGTTATCACTGCATTTCAAAGCGAAGAGACATTTGCAGAAGTAATCAATGAGTCAAGTGAAATGATCAAAAGCATAAGGATACGTCGTCTTAAATTTCTTCATTTTCCTTCAGGACTAGCAATTCAACTCACATCTTTCATGGGTTCTGGCGAGGTTTCTCGGAGCTCTAATATTGCGTCCGTTCGTTTTTCTCCGAAGCCCTAAAGTTAATAAAACAGGTAAGTCAGTTTGCCTCCCAGCCTAATTCTAATGATTCCAAACGATTGGTTCCTTTCAAAGAACTTTACTCAAATACAATCGGGGTAAATCTCAGAAATTTTCAGTTATCTTGAAGGCGTCATCTTGGGCTTCAAGCACGACATGTGAAATCACTTGCTCACCTTCAACATAAGGAGTTGATCCCTGCAAGACATCAATACCAAGAGGCCGCCGGATATGAGATGTGCCATACTCGGATGTCGCATTTAAGGAAAAAACGTCTACAAAGCTTTGCACTTCGCATATCCTCAAATGTTGCCTAATAAAAAAATGCCAAAACCGAAAAGAGAACAGTTGAGAAAGAAAAGAGGGTTGCCTTGGTGCTGTGTTCAGAATATCGAGGTACTGCTCCACCAGCATATTCTACAAAATCCAAGGAAGGGGTAAGTGAAGTCTCGGAAAACTGTCTGATACTCTTGTTGTTAGCCAGAGTAACTCTTGCCGCTCTTGTTGATGCTACCATTCGTTGACCGTTAGTGTTAACACAAGGTTTTTAATGTGGTATTGAGAGAGGTACGAGGTTTCACCCTTCTCTAAAAATGATAGGCTTTCCAGGAAGAAAGAATTGAAAGGAAGTTGTGAAGAGTGCGTCCAACCCGAATCTTTGCGGTAGACTTGCTGAATCTCTCGTACGGTGTCTCTGCCTCAACGAAATTTGGAGTGCAAAAGGTCGAGTCGAGAACTCGAGGTAGGTCATTAGGAGTCTTTACAACCAGTGGAGATGGAGAGGGTACATTGGTGTCAACAGGACTCAAAGGAAGTAGAGCTCTTGCTAGACTTTTCAGCTTCACGCTCAAAGGTGGAGATGCTTCCACAATTTGAGATGTTCGTTTGAGTGGTGTGTATGGACAACCAATATGTTGTAAGAAGTCGTTCTCTTTGTCAGCTTCATCACCTGTAAGGCAGACAGCAGACAACAGCGTCAATATTTCGTTTATGTTTGAAACGTTTTCCAAAAAAAGCAATAATATCAGCGGCTGAAGAAGCACAATTCCCTACCATAAGTATCTGATGGAGCATCTCCATCTTGAAAGAGAGGATTAGTGCAGTTATTGTACAGTTCCTCGCTGAAATTACTTGTTGTATTGATCTCCTCGCATTCCCCTTTGTTGCTTTCTTCTGCACCGGCTATGGTTACTTGCTCATTTATCGGTGATACGATTGTCGCCTGTACAAGGGAAACAGACTAAGCACGGATTAAACTAGTCTCTCAAGAAGAAGCTGTTGCAGTGTTGTGAGGCGGGTTCACTTATTTCATATAGAAACGTCAAAGTTCAAAGTTGACCACGCAAAATATAGAATAATCGTTCCAAACGAAGACGAGTCCCATTGAGGACCCATGCTAGGCTCATATCTGGTCCTCTGGTCGTCCTCTGGTCTTCAACAGCTTATACTTCGTGAGGGAGCAAATAAGACCGTGATCTTCGATTGTTCAACTTGAAAGTGATCAGACATGATTAAAAGCTTCCGGCACGCTGAACATGTTTGATAGAACTCCATATCGATGGGAAGATAGATCCCATGAGATTTGCATCTAACAGTGTACTAATGACCTCGTCAACAATCACTACTAAGGTGCAGCAGGTGACATCAACCTAGAGACCTCGTGACCTGAGCTGTAAGAAAGTGTCTGCACAGTTCCTGGCATATTGACTAGAATTAATCTCACATATTTTATCCTGAAAATACATTTCATTCAGGAAAAAGCTTACCTTTTTCGATGGAACAGCACGAGTGACATTCACCTTTGGACTGCTTTTTACTCTGCAAGAAACCATCATCTATCAGTGGAGGGTCGCAGGGAGCAATAATATATACGATGAAGGGGTCCAAGAGAACCTCAACTTATTATCACAGTTCTAACATACCTTGTCTTATTCCCGACGCGCTCGAGAGGGTTCTTCTTAATGACTGGCGTTTTAGGGCTTCGAACATGAGGCGGAGATCTCATGAGGAAAGGCTTCAGCGGTGAAGGGCTGCAAGATACAGTCGGAGGCTTGACCGGAGTTTTCGTTTTTGATTCCTTCCAAGCCATAAGTTTTGCTGCCATGTCCGACTTCTCTTTGCTGAATTCATCTCCTTGTCGGACACCCTCTGTGTGATTTACAACTTGTCTTGATCTTGCAGCTAGGCTTAGTGTTTTGGCGGCCTCTGAGTACGACCCCGGATTCTGTAGGGTACAGAAATGTTCGTTCATGAGGCACTTTCCGCCGTTTTCACCGACCAAGATGGGCCAGGGGGTTTACAATAGCTGAGAACGGCCAGAATTGACAAATCATCGAATGCTTCAAGAAGATGAATTAGAAGCTGACGTTAAGAACTAATTCTCACCAGGCATGCCACCATCACAGACCGGCTGGTGCCTCCCAAAGAATCTCGCAGAATACGAGTCAACTTGCTGTCTCGATAGGGCACCCGAGCATCGTTAGCATTCAGGGCATTAATGACATTAGATAAGGCGAAAAGAGATTGATTTATCTGACTGCTTTCTGCAAGTCTTAGACCATCACTCCCTGTTTTCCTATTGTCCTCATTTCCTGCACACATCCACTTCTGACTGTGAGATCCCTGAACAACTTCAAGCGACAATATGAGCAGACTGTAGATCCAGATTGACGAAGGTGAAGGTTTCCAGTTTGCTACGGGGTTGCAAGGAAAAGTCACACTTTCCTCAGCTTGTCAGCATGGCTTCGCGCTGTCAAGTGTGACGAAAAGTTGGTTGCATGCACAAATGGAGATTTTAGAAAACTTCAACGACAACAAAAATTACTTTGCTAGATGCTAAACAGTTGGGACACAAAGAACGAGTATTTACAAAAAGGCTAACAAAAATACCAGAGCTTGAGAGGTTGCTGAAACGATTGATAGCAACTCTTAGGTTTTGAATTCGTACCAGCCAAGTCAATTAAGTTCAGCTTGGCCTCCCTTAGGACATGGCTTGTTGCATCACGTGAGGTGACTGTTACAGCTAAAACCCCATGGCTACGGCTGGATACATCGTTCAGTACAGTCGAGCCCATTCTGCGTCGAGCACATCCCTCAGCCAGCAAAGCTTGAAACTCTTCCACACTTTTGATCTCTATCTGCTCCCAAGCGACCAAGAAAACTTGTTCAGTCTCCTTTTCTACTTCCGAACGTCATTTTCTCCAAGACAGCATAAAACTAATTGTCGAAAAACTTCTAGGCACGCTGTGGAGTACAAGTAAACAAGTATATGTACAGGAGTGCAGCGAGTAGATCGGTAAACATACCTTGGCCAAACCACGAAACTGAATGTTGCCGCTGTGATCTTCCAAGACAGGGACCTCATTTTTCGTTTCCAGAAGATCATAGCAACGATCCATGTACACCTCATAGTAGGAAATAGCAACGGTGCATCCATGATCCGTTGCAGATTTGAATATACTCTTCACTGCCCGATACATCAAGCCCGGGTCCGTCTCAGTACCCTGCACTCCTTGAAAATAATATTTCGATCTGTTAATTGAATTGGTGGGGACTTGACAGCGTAGAACTGACAAAGTAAAGTATTTTTCTGGAACGCAATGGTCAGAAGTAATGGAATATCTTCCACCTCAGTATAGAAAGTACGTAAATTTTCACAGGGGTGCCCCCTGCTTATCCTACAACCGGTGGTTATACCAGTTGTCGAATAAGCAGTATGTGTCGGTGACAGCTGGTAAACCTGTTACTAAGACACCCATAACATAATGTGTTATGTGTTTTCGTACAAGCAAGAAGGAAAGTTTAAGGTGCTAGAAAGTTACCTGCATGGTGTGCGTTTTGCCGCTGCCAGTCGCCCCATAAGCGAAGACAGTGGCGTTGCGTCCTTCGAACAAACATTGCAAAATTGGTTGCACCTCGTTGGCAAACACTTCAGCATTGTCAGTTGCTTCGCCATAACAAGCGTCCACCTTATACTCCTCACAGCGACTGCAGTAGAACCAACGAGTTCAGATCCTTCTGTCTCATGGAAATTTTCTACACGAAGGCATCAAGTTGCAAGTGAGTGAGCAGACCCTTGACCACAATTGGTTTCTTGAGTATCTTATCTGGTTCCATATAGACATCCATGCTACAGAGTTTTGAAAAGCCTCGACAAGTGCAGATCGCGGTTCCTCGATGGTGAGAGGCCATATCGTCGACGAACAGCGAGTTAGATAGTGTTGAAGTTGATTGATGCATTCATCAGGCAATATCAGAAGATCAATCAAGAACTGTTCTTTACCAAACTTTAGCTCTGACAAGCCAGCTGATTCGTAACTTGATTGCAGGTTTTCTTGAAGAAGATCCATGTTCCAGTATTGAACTGTTCACAGGGGAAGGAAACGTGCTTATCGGAACTCACATTCCAAGAAGTAGAATTGTTGGCAAGTGTACCCCCTACAATGTTAAAGTACCCGCTCCTAAACTTCTCACGAAAAAAACTGAGCTCTGCACGGTACTAAGAATTAGTGACCTCATATTGTACGTCGCTTTAGCACCCGCCAACGTACGTAGACCACAATTACATGCTGTACCTCTTGACGAACTCTACTACCAACGTCAGGTCTTATATCGTTCTCCCAGCTGGAATTACTACGTTCAGAGCTTCGAGGTGGGCTTTGGATGTTCTTCCCCGCTCCACCTCTATGGGAGATTTGGAAGCATTTTATTCAAGTCCTCGAACAAAGTAGGGTCGAAGACAAACGCTGGCCATGAGAAGGAAGTTCATACCTTGCAGTTTCGGTACTGATCGTCAAGCTGTCCTCTTCCGTGCCTTTCGAGATGGAGGTACAATCGTGCCCAGGATTTCCAGAGACTTGGATCTCCTCCGCAAGGAAGGGGCGCACTCTCGCCACGACTCGGACCCTGTGACCATTGCCAGTCTCGTTGGCCCGTGGTGGAGGGCCGAGCCTCGATCGGCCCGGCGTGTACCGCCCAGGAGTTCCCTTGATAGGACTCAGCATCTCGTCGAACTTGAGCAGCTGTCACCACACCACCGAACAATTCTCGAACCCAATTCCAGCTCGAGCTTCGAAAACCCGCGCGATGGAGAGCTAACGACACCCCTCCCCTAGCTCCCTCGCTCCCTCGCTCCCTCGCTCCCTCACGCCCCGATGCTCGATCGTAGGAGTTCGCGAGCGTGCGAGCGATCAATGCTCTTGCCTCTCCACTCTCGAGCCGCAAATCTACACACGCCCGGCTTCGAATCGCCTCATGCTGCTGGAACCGGAGCTCGATCCCCCTCCCGAAATTCGAAGCGCGATCGTGAAGCGATTTGGAGGGCAGCGTCTGGAACAAGCGTCGCAACGTTCGTATTCAAAAAAAACCAAAACGCCCAAGTTACCGTTGTCCGACGGACGTCCGCCCGCCTCGGTCGTCGTCCTTGTCGATGGAATCCGGCCATCCGGCCGTTACCTTCCGGCTCCTGCAGTCGGGGGCTTGCAGTGCGAACGGATTTCAGGCTCCACCGGGATTTGGGTTTCAAAAGCCTACGGTCACAGTACAGTGAAACATGTCTCCAGCTGAGCGTGTGGGTCCGTGTGCGGGAAATTATGTCGTTTGTTACGTTCTGTCCGTTTGAATTTTCAACAGTAGAATTCAGTAATCTGTTAGAAGCAATTCATCCTTGCGTCCGAGCACGGTTGGAAAAACTACATCCTCATCCAGTGAAGTAAATTTCTTCAAGTTTCAGATATACAGTAATCAGTTTTAGAAATTTCTTATATATACTCAGGTGACGAAGGTACAAGAGGCATACCAGGGCATATTTCAGATGTGAGAATAGAAGAGACAGATGAGATACGGGTTTGGCAAAATATCGTCGGCCTTGTTTCCGTAATCAGTTTGATGAGCGATATATTTTACAACGAGTACTTTACTTACTTTGACGTTATACTTTGACAACGAATACAAACTTTTCCATATTCCTTCCTTACATATTCATTTGCAACTGATTTTTTACTTCGGTAGCCAAAAGAAAACTTAGATGCAATTATTGGACTCAACAAAAGCCCATTACACAGAAAATGATTGATCATTTCTGTATTGACAGGAAACTTTTTTATTTGAGCTGGAAAAACTCAAATTTAAATCCAGATACAGATCACATTGGTCAGATTCTAAGTTTCCATTCACAAGTGAAAAGTTAAACATTTATGCAAAATCTTAAAATAATCATTCAATATTATCTCATATATATGAAAATGAGTAAAAAGAAATGGTTTCAAGGTGGAAATAAAAGTAAAATGATTATCAATTTTGATCTTCACACCAAAGTAGTTTTTGACGTGATTAAGATTGCGGCTTTTTCAAGCTACCACCTTCTTTTCTAAGAATTTATCCTAGACTAAGATCTAACTCTAGATTGTATAGATGATAAAGATGACAAAACACTTGTCATCTTTATCATTTCATACATATTACCAAAATCAAATCACATTAAGTATCATATTGGATGAAGAGTATGTTATAAGTGATTGTCTACCTATCAGAATAAAACTATACATATCAAAATGATTGATAAGATGCATATAATGAATTCAAACTATGGAATAATTTCTTTCATCACTAAACTTTTTTCCAAAATTTTAAAAACTAATGAAATTTCATTTAAAAACATCAATGTGATTTTGAATCTTTGTGTCAAAATCTTTCATCTTGAAACTCATCACCTTGAATAAGGCATACAACTTGTTGTATAACTCTTTGCGATAGACTAACTACTCTTCACAAAGATTTTGAAGATTATTAAAAAAAATAATCAAAATCATAAATGAGATGATGAAATTTTATGAAAAAATTTTCATCTTGAAATTCATTAGCTTTACAATAGAATTGTTGTTTAAGAGTATCAAGAAAAGCGTGAAATCATCAATTCATTCATTTGTTTCAAAACCAAAGTGTACAAATATAGTTTAACACTACGCACATTCTTCTACTTTAGATATTTCCAATAATTGTCATTATAGGTGGACGATGTTGAGGAAAAAAACAATAAGCTCAAAAAGCCGTTGGAACTATGATGGATAGCATTGAAACAACTTAAACTGAAATTTTCTCACATGATTGGGTCGAACTTTAGCTAACAAAAAAAGCTTGTCAAAATGATAATACATCCATTCTTAACTAGCTTCATCAAATCTATCAATCAACTTAAACCAATGAAAATCAAATGTTCAACTACATTTGGCAAATGTCTCTTTGTAATAAGAAGTTATATAGTGTTGCAGTTGTTGCTTCTTTACGAATTGTAGATGGATTCAAAATGTATTATTAAGAAAAAAATCATGAGTTGTATATCTAGAATATTCACTCATCAATTAAAAAAAAAATTAGAAACCTTGTCATCCAATAAGTCCGGTTCATTAATTAAGAAATATAATGATACAAAATTTTGACCAAAAAATTTTCTAAAATTTAGTCTCATAAAAGAATTGTCTAGATCATGGATTACTTGTGCTTATACAAGATAAGAAAAAAAATTTGTAAAAATTTTAAGCCAAAATACCTATCTTAAATTGCAAGCAAACAAGACATCTTCCACTTTGTCATTTTACACTATATCGATGAGAAAATATCATCGCCAAAAAATATTTCATGTAATGAAAGAATTAACATCACTCAATAATGCAATAAGAGTTTGCTTAATACAAACTTTCATTGTAGCTAAGAATGGAGCAAATGGTGAGTCATTTGACTATGAGCTAACAGGGGTGAACAAAAGGTCAACATCAATTTCCTGCGCTGATATGCTTGCCTTTGATCCCAACGCTCGAATTTTAAACTACAATGCAAATGATTTGGATGAAGTGTTAGAGCATGGTGTACGTAGTGAAGTGGATTATTTCGCTCGTAGTATCTGCGAATACATCACTTTCAATTCAGTGAATTCTTTAACAAATAAGCATGTTTTCATATTTGAAATATTTCAAAACATATCGAAGTCAAAGAGAAGCAACTAGAGAGTTTGTATGTGCTTCCACTTATGTATTTTCTCTCCTTAACAAGCCCAACAGAACTCGACTAGAGATCTTCAGAGTTTTGTTTCATATTGAAATGATCTCCTCTTTTAATTCCTAGTATTAGAGATTTACGTTGACTGAGATAGTTTTTTTTATATACTTTTTTATATACCATTCATCGATCTTGCTAGAAGCGTCGTGAAAAACAAATGAAGCTAATCAAATTATCGAGACTGTGATTTGTCTCAAAGAATCAAAAGTATATTAAAATTCGTGGACAAATCTAATTGGTTTTTAGCAATCGAGAAATAAATCATGTTCACACCTTCATATGCACCTTCACCACACTTTCATACTATATGTTTAATATGTCACAGATATTAAAGACGTTTCCATTGCACAAAATGTCATTCGCTGTTAATACCTAACTAAAAATAATTTAAACAGCTCTAGTAACCTAGATTCCTCATAGCCTTCCTGTTAAGTACGATCAGGTCCCAAATGTAATTAATCTAGATTCAATGGAGTCAATAGCAACCCAAAAGACTACTTGGGAGTGTAAGGACTTTGAACATGGGAGGAGATAAAACTGTCAAATAAAGTTTCCGAGTCAAACAAGAGAAAAGAAAAGCTCATTCACACCCGTGTGTAGTTATTCAGATAATTGCAATCACAAAGCCTTCAATTCATCTTGTTGTACTGGATCTTCGGCCGGTCTAGCTGAACAAAGCTGCCGTGCAGTTGTGATTTTTGAAGTACATAGACTATCATCACACACAACTTGTTTTTTCATCTCGAATGCGACCCACTCTCAAATTGTCCTGCTTTCACGATAAAATTCAAAGATTCACACGCACACACTAAAGTATGTGGTTCATTATTGTAGACTACGTTCACTAAACACATAAAGATCTTACAAATAAAAATCCTAAAGAGTCATGGACAGCTTCCACTATCTATATGCTAGTGATAGTTTAATCCAAACTCTAACCAGATAAAAATATTCTAAGATAAAAAAAATGAATTAAATTTCAATAAGGTGATAATATATCATTTAAATCTTTGAAACTTTAGAATCTAAATTCATCATTTGATTAAATTCAAAATATTATCTACCAATCAAAATTTTATAACTTAGTCAAATCAATTAAAATTAACATTTAATGAAAAGATTCCTTTTCTATTACATGTTATAAAATCGTATATAATATATTTTGATATGAGATAAAATATTGATGTTCACCAAAAAATTCTAAAAAACTTCTAAAAATTCTATTATGTATAAATCTGATAGTTAAATTTCTTAAATTTATTATTATCTAAATTTGATCATACTTTATTATAATCAAGATCAATTCTTTGATCACTTTTACAATGAATATCACTATACAATTCCGATTCTTACAAATTCAGATATGTAATTCACTAGATTTTATTAAATATCCTGACATCAAATTTAATAGTTGTGGTTGTAATGAAATTTTATAAAAATTCTTTCAAAAAATTATGAATAAATTTCAAATAATATTATATGATTTAATGAAATATTTAATTCAATTAAAGGTGAATTTTACTTTGATATCAATTTAAAATTCTCAAAATACCTTTAATAACATGATTTTATACGTGGATCGAATGCAAGATCTTTGAAATCTCATTTTAGATTTTTAAATAAAATACACTTAATTTTATTTAACACAACATATGGAAATGAATTATCATTCTAGATTCAAGTATCTAACGATGACTACTTCTAAAAGTGAATTTGATCGAAGATGGGAAAAAAACTTTCAATAAAAAATATCATATATATTTGACACATTTCTTACAAGTAATGAATTACAACTATATTTTAATATCTTCAATTATGAATATCTATTTGTTTTGTACGTAATGGAGGGTATTATTATACTCTATCATTTTTCAAAAGTTAAAGGTAAATGTATGAAAAAAATTTGAAAAAAAAAACCTAAATATTTAATTCTTTCAGTTTTTCAACATGCATCCTACGTGTCTAAATAACATCGAATAGTACTGTACTCCAAGTCTAGGTGGACCTGTCACGTGATTTCTAAAGTAGCCGAGTCGTTCAAACTGGATCGAGATCGGCTACTTCAGTAAGCAGCCTAGTTGATGCAGCTGAACTGTTCCGAGAAATTGCGTCAGAGTTTTGGATATGTTTCCTGTGTGGTATCGATCTGATCGACATGCTGAGCTGAGCAACTAGATCAGTAGATCCATATAGTAAACCGATGGAAAACTCTCGGATTTTGAATGAACAGAAGTATCAACTGCACCGGCATGCTACTGTGATAACATTCCACACGCACGTTGATTTGTGGTCGACCGTAAGTGAAGCGACCAGTGTACAATCGATTCTGCCTGCACAGTCTCTGTCCACTCACCCGTAGATTGTTAAGGTCATGTTTTCGCAATGCAAATCCATGGAAAGGTTCCTCCTTCTCGTTGGGCCTTGTCATGGAGAAAGATGTCAATCGCTGTAGAAACCTCTGTATGGAACGTGAACTGGAGGGCATCAATTTCAGTATGATATCAGAATGAAATATAACTGAAATGTTACAAATAATGTAATAAGGAGTTTTTAAGTTGAGTCCATTGTTCGTTCACGAGCTGGTCATAGGCAGTTTCACGTGAGTGCTCAACGCGTTCATTTTCTATCAGTGGAAAGCACATCATCGCAGCTGCAAGCAGCTCTGGTCTCTCCCTTGGCCTAATTTCCCAGATCAGTGCCTTACTAATGGTATGCTTTCATCTGAAGTTGTGCCTGACGTAAGCGACAAACGTGGGGGAATGAAGTACGTCACGAGATAGATACACTGACATACACAGTGCAGAATAAATTACATGAGGTTGGCATGGCCTCATATATAAGGAGCACAAAGCTTGTCCTTCAAATCGTACCCTCGACATGAGCATTGCGAAGAACTGAGCTAATCCTGAGGACCCTCTAGCGCAGAAGTACCTGGTCTCGATAAGTGGTGGCAACAACAGGCAGATCCGACCATCTCGGAAGGTGCCCATTTTTTAACACGTCTAGGATTTGAAGGCAAGGCAATTGAAGTGGAATCGGCGGGCTGCAAGGCTGCAAGCATGGCATCATCATCATCGTCGTCTTCTTCTTCTTCGTCATCCTCGTCATTGCCACCACTGATCAGAGGAGGGTCGTTCAAAGAAACCGGGCCGAAAATTTCATCGCTGGTTCGATGGCAGTCTCTCCCAACGCCGGCAACTCTCGCCAGAGAGGGGTTTTCCAAAGGAGCTCTACCTACTGAGTCGTCGTCGAGGAGATGGACTTCCATCGCACTAGTGGTGATGAGATGGGTGGGGTTGCTTCTCATTGGGGTCTACTTATACGGTGCTATCACTTATGCCAAAAGCATAAGATATCCCAGTAAGATCGTCACCACTGAGATGCTGTACAGAAGGCTGGGAGAAGCGGGCGATGGATTGTCAGAAAGTTATTACGCCTTCTCCTGCCCCCAGGTCTTCTCTGTAGTGAGCCAGCATATCGATAAGTTCGTCACAGCAGACCCAACTATGGCAGGAGGCTTGCAGCGATTACATTTCCACGACTGCTTCGTCAGGGGCTGTGATGGATCCGTCCTGTTGAATTCCACAGCCTTCTCACTCGCTGAGAAGGATGCCCAGCCGAATGCTGGTTCTCTGAGAGGCTTTGAGCAAATCGACGAAATCAAGGCTGCTCTCGAAGAGGTTTGCCCGGACACTGTATCTTGTGCTGATCTACTGGCCCTCGTTGCACGTGAGGCCACTGTGAAAGCCGGAGGCCCGAGCTGGTCAGTGCCCTTGGGACGCAGAGATGGCTTCGAGTCTCTAGAATCTGAGGCCAGTGCCCACATTCCCTCTCCGCAATCTAACTTCAGCACTCTGGTGAAGACTTTTGCTGCGGCGGGATTCACTGCCCAGGAAATGGTCGTTCTCTCGGGTGCACACACCATAGGCCGTGCGAGGTGTGGCGCTGTCCAGCCCCGTCTGTACAATTTCTCTGGAGTCGAGGGCCTCACTGACCCGAGCCTTGATCCCATCCTCGCCGACGAGCTCATTTTGCAGTGTCCTCCCAACAACGTGAAGAACATTATCGCCATGGATTCAACTCAAGACACTTTCGACATTGTCTACTTCAAGCAGTTGCTGGTCAACCAAGGACTCTTCTTGTCTGATGCTGCCCTCATTACCAATCCACTCGCCCTCGATTACGTGACCAGACTGTCGGAGTCCAGGTCCACCTTTTTTGCCGATTTCGCAATTGCCATGGAAAAGCTAGGCACCATTCAGCTGTTGACAGGATCTGCCGGAGAGGTCCGTAAGAGATGTGCTGTTGTCAACAGCATTTAGTAAGCGACGTGGAAGCGACGTTCATCATTCTTTCGTGGACATGCAATAAGCCAAGAGTTCGAATTGAAGCTCGTTCGGCCTTCATGCATTTCTGCAGCTTGAGATATTATTTGTCGTATCAACAGGATACGAAAGCATTCAATGTGCCGGTTGAAATGCACCATAACCTCTAGATCTCCAGTGCATGCAGGGTCCTATTATTGTAGATAACGTTGGTAGCAGCAACGAGAGTCGCACTAGTTTGCTTATCAAGTGAAATCAATCATTCGTTTGGTTTACTCTTAGTGTCGAGACTTTTTTGTAGGACAGAAATCCCATCATTCTTTCACTCTTCATGCAAGTCAATGAGGAAGAGATTCAGTGGTACCTTCATGCACGTTGACGGAGATCTAGATGCTCAGTTTTTGTTAGAGTTTACAGTAGAACGAACACTCGATGATTTAGTGATCCTTGACCAGTATTGGTACATATACTTGTAAATATTACCAGGAGATCTGATGCCAAGCTTGAAAATCATCAGCTTTTTGGCCAGTCAGGTTAGGAGCTTACAAATGAAGTGATGTCAAATTTCAATCATTCTGCCGAGCTTTATTGCAGTTGCACCTAAGCATCCTCTCTCGGGTTTTTAAAGCCCATTCGTGTCTCATCTTCTCCGGGCAGTTTGAAGGCTAAGGTTTTTCTCGAAGACGTAACATCATCTTGTACTATACTAGCGACTGATCTTTGATCTTACTCGCATTCACGTCACTCCCTCATAGACAAAAGCGTAATATAATGAAAGTCCTACAGCCACAAATGAGCCTTTATATGCAAGAGCGGAAATAAACCGATGGGAGATTTTGATTTGCCCATGAAATCAATGGCTATTGGTTCACTGAAAGTATGGGGTTGACTGATTGCTGTACATCCTTCGTAGAATCTAACTGGTCACTCGTAAGTACGCTCATATGTTGCCACTACCAGCCTGCGAGTGTGCCCCCGGGTATACAAGACTCAGACCTGTGAAACTTGCGGGAATTCGAGGGAATGAGGAGAGGGAACATCGAATATTCACTGTCATGTCCTTCATATGATCAAAGAGAAATTATACCCTTATTCACTACAATCTAATTAAAGCCACAAATTATTCTCCACAATCTATGTGTGAATAATTTGTGATGTACATTTTAGATATCCGGTGAAGGAGGAAAATCTTCTGCTGTTGGATCATCTTCTCGCATGAGTACAATCTGAAATGTATCACGCATGCGGTGAGACTTGACCTCCTCAAATGAGAAGGCACATGAGCCACAATGCTTGTTCCATGGCAAGTAATTAGTGTGAGCTCCCCTTTTTGCCGGCATACCAGCTTGGAAGTCTTCCTCTCGACCCGGAGCATGTAATGGGACAGACTATTCAATTTCAAAACTTCTTACCTTCACTCGCTGTTGTGATATTCTTCTTAGAGTGAATCATCATTTGCTTAGTTTACCGTTTCGCACGTTTGTGAAAGCGAATGTTGCTGATCCCATTGCCTTCACTATAAGATATTAAGTTTGCGAATATCAACTCGGAACAGATCTTATCTTTAATATGAACACGACACTTCTCACATCGACCACTTTTTGTGAATAACGTTATTCAACTAGTTTTTTATGCATAAACTAAACTCAGAAGCACGCATGGCCAAGATTCCTGTCACCAGGGCTTTTTTCTAATTCTACTTTAGAGGTGTAAAGATTCCATCGTTTCTTCTTAACATACAAGTACAAGACAAAGTCGAAGAGTTACATAAAATCTCTTGGTATGGTGTTTTAGGCTTCATTTAATAACTCACGTCTGCATGTCAGATCTGCAACTGTTACGATTGATATATGTGATCTGGACATCCGCCAGCTTCAAGGCCTCATTTTCGTGGCTCATGAATGGCTCCTCATTCGTGTTATTAATGCAAATTGCAGCTCAGGTTCTTGTGGATAATGTTTGGCTCGTATGCTAGCCTTGATGCTTGATCCTTGTGGTATAAAATCGAGGTACCTAAGGTAAAATCGTCTTAAGGTAAAATCATTAACCCTAAAACCTTCCCGTATGTAGACTGTCAGACGTCACCTTCATTGGATGTAGAATAAATGTATAACATGAAAATGGTAAAATAAAACTTGCAGTTCTCTTGCCCTTTGGTTAGTACATACGTTGAAATAGGCACCCAGTGTCACATATTACCATATCTGAAAAGCTTAAGCGACTGATCGCCACTTTCACGAAGGATTGAACAGCAACATGAGCAATGAGTAAGCTGGTCTCTGAAGTCCTAAACATCAAAATCTTCCTTCTTAAACTAGGCAAATTCATCTCAAAGGGAAAATAATAATGAGCACATACATGCTTGTTTCTGGCAAGAATTAAATGAACTCTTAAGCTACACAACTCTAGTCAAGAATAATTAGTATCATATTTACTGGAGGCCGAGATCGAAGCACAATCACCTCGGTCACACCCCTCCTATTGCTTGATATGTATCAAGCATGGTATTGATGTTGACCAGCAACATTCATATAAAGTATTTTAAACTTTTTTGTTTTGAAACTTTAACTATTATGTAAGAAGTAAGATGCATAAAAAATTCAAAAAAGTTAGCTTAAATATCTAGTAAAAAGCTCTCAAATTCTGTTCGTCAAAACATCCAATTTACTAGCATTATATATTCATGAATTCAATATAAATTTGTGCCAAAAATGTAACATTTTTGTATACATATACACTTTATGTTAGGTTGGTATTTAAGTTGTCTTATGTGTTCTACTATCTTCTAGATATCTTTAGAGATAATATCATGGTACCAGCACACAAATTTTTTTCAAGAGCGGTAGACATTTCAATATTAACAAAACGAAAAGAAGATTTTTCATATTGTATATAAAAAACATCTTGTAAAAACAGAGAAATAGAACAAATTCGAAATACTTAACAAAAGTTGCTGCGCAATCAACACACACACAATATTTATTTATTTATTCTTATATAGGACTTTTGTCTTTCATGATGAAAGTAATTTAATTGACTTGGTGTAGCTTGCAAGTATCGAGACACAAAATGTAACGTGGTTCACCATTTTAAAGAGGCTAAATCCACCACAAACACGCAACACTTTACTTCTAGTCCATTTTCAAAAAGATTCAATGTACAAGGGGAGCTCCCTTATATATTTATCCATAGTACAGGCGACCACCTTAGCTATTTATAGCTAGAACCTAAGGTTACTCCTTGATTGGAGTTAACTTCAACAATCTCCCCCTTAACTAAGATTAAAGAACAACAACCTCTATAAAATACATTATTATTCCACAGAAATTTTTAGAAAAAAACCCAATACAACATCTGTTTTAACTAGAATTAAGCCGTAGTCATCATATGATAAAGTAAATATATAAAGAGATAACTGCAAATACTATGTTAGTAAACTTTAACTCTATCATTCATGCACAACCTACATGATAGCACAGTGTCGCGATCAACGCATCAACCACATTGAGTTTACCGTCAATCTTGACTAGCTCAATCATTTTATCAAACACTATTTTCTGAAAAATTAGTTGATATCGTTGTGCTTCACTCTACTGTACATAATCTAAACCATACTCATCTTGATCATTAATCACATAATGATCAAACTCCCCCAAACCCATAGTTATGAGCAGAGATTTTCAATTGTTAGTAAGGAGATTTGAAAAAATCTCCCACTCTTTCAATGAACTAGGTTCATTGAAAGACACACACGCCACCTGTATTTATTAAAAAGCACACACATACTAACAAAAATCTTAAAATCTACTCGCTGTCAGCCGTGATAATCATTCACAGTCAAGATTGACTATCATCCGTGACTGTTCTTCATCGTCGCACGCGACTAACTTCGTCCGCAACTAATTGTCATCCGTGATTGTTCCTCACCATCGCCCAAAACTGACCGTTATCGTTGCATGCGACAAACTGCATCCGCGACTTAGTGTCGTCCGCAACTGACTACGCCCTCGATTGGCCTTCACGCCGCCTGTCACCGTCGTCCGCGACAGACAACGTCCGCGACTAGCATGTCACTTGTGTCTAGACCTCACTGTCGTCTTCGACTAACTACGTCCGCGACCGTCACCATTGTCCGCAATTGATTGTGCATGTGACTAATCATTACCGTCGTCCGTGACTAGCTGCGACCACGACTTATCAAGATCGTCGCCCACAAGTTATTGCGCCCGCAACTAACCACTATTGTCGTCCGCGACTGTCTGCAACTGTGACTTATCAAAACCGTCGTTCACGACTTATAGCACCCACAACTAATCATTACCGTCGTCCGTGACTAACTACGCCCCCAACTAATTGTCATCGTCTCCCGCAACTCTCTGTCTGCTGTTCTTAATTACGTTGCTCGCGACTGACTTCCGATTCAATTTCTTCCTTTTGACTCATTGTTGAGCTTTTGGAAAATGTCCAGATGCATTATTTGCGTTGATAGCTTTCCAACAATAGCAAATTTGCCTATATTGAGATGAAAAAATATTTATGATGGAATGTTCCTTCATTGTTGTTTCTGACCATCACCGTTAGTCTTCAGCGTCACCGTCATCGTCGATCGACCGTACATCATTGCCATGTTGACCATGTTTGATCCACCGACTACGTTAGATACTCGACCACGACTGCAACCACGTTCAACTTGACCAAGATCGCACTTGATCACGTTCACAGCGACCACGTTCCGCTCGCGACCGCATCTGGCGACTTCGCGTTGCTGACTGCGACTGATCGCGACTGCATATTACCTACGGAGCGCAACGGCGACTGATCGCGACTATAGTCCGTCCTAAGCGAGGGTGGCGGAGGCTGCCTAACCAGGGATCCGGGGGACCGGCTCCCCTAATCGTGCGGGGGATTAGGGCACCACTGGCCTAACCGCGAGAAGGAGACAACTTTGCCCTGCCCGCACCCCTGCCAGGCTGCACGGAGGATGAAGTGCCCTAACT